GTGTGCCAAATCAGTATTTGAAAAGGGTATTACTGCCAGGATCGATGGGATAAAGAAAAATTTATTTGTTCGAGGGCATATTGTCTGCATAGTGTAAGGAACTACATGTTGCTTTGAGAGGCAGGAGGTTATAGGGAGAAAGGAAAAGGACGCCGGCGTCATCTAGTGAATATGCACGTCAAATCAAATGCGTGATGACAGGTTTGAACTAGTGGCATAACTCTTTTTTGAATTCAAGAATGAGTCAATCGTAATTTCGGTATTGGGAGAGGGAACAACTTTCGAGGCAAAATAGTAGCCGGGGGGAGAAGAAAGAACACTGTGGCCTCCAACTAAACGCCGTGATAGCTCACATCTGTCTTGCGAATGTTTTCGCTTGCAATCATGTCGAGACATTTTTTTAAATCCGGGGGAAACAATGTGCTGGGCGAAGGCCTTACTCGTGCCCGACGAAGAAATCATCGAGTCTTCATCCATATCACCCATATGACAAAGCTCGCCGCATGCCTCATGGAAGTTTCAAGTCTGAGAGAAAATGATGGTAACATAGACCGATTTAGCAAGACGCTCTCTTGCACCGAATTGTTACATTTTTTCCACGCAACAATCAGATTCCCCATGAAAGGAAAAGCAAGCCAGAGAAAATTGAGCCATTTTTGCATGTCCCCCTTATTCTTTCTTCTTGCCATTACCACCCGCTCAGCCTCTGCAGTCTTTACATGTTAAGCATAAATATCCATGAAATCCCTTTTCATCCACTTGTTCCTCGTTCTCCCGCCTGCATTTTCTCTTCCTGCTTCCACATGTTCAGATTTAACCTCTTGCCCTTTACCATGGGCAGTAACACATGGAGATATCAAAGATTAGAGGTCACGGAGCCTGTACATTTGACAGCACAGAGATCCCACATCTTTGGTCCTGACCAGGCTCCGTTTCGCAACTTCCGCAGCCATTGCTCCTCCTCCGCGTCTCCCCCTCCTGTTCTCCCTCCCCCCTCCTTCCCCCAGCCCTTGCACGCAAGATTTGAGAAACCATACGCACACGCTAAGAAGTCTCTTTCCCCCCCGCGTGCTTGTTCCCCCCATCCTTCCCTCTACCTCCCTCCCTTCAACCCCCCACACCCCCCTTCCTCCACCCTCAAACTTTTTATTTCCCTCACGGGAAGTAGGGTCGCTCCCGGAAGCTTGCACCCACCCCCTTCGCCATTGACCGCACAGCTTCTACATCCACGTCAGGCCGCGCCACTGCCGTGATCTGTGTGTCTATCCCCGAGCCAACACATTCCTTCACGAACGCCACCACCTCCCCCAGGGTCTCCCCCTCCCTC